GTACTCACAGACCAGAATGGTCTTGTACTACATATTTTGTATTTTCTTGGAATTTCTGTATCAAGTTGGTGCCTCATCAGCTAACAATTATCCTGGGGCTGATGAGCACAAGGGCCATTTTCTGGGAATTAGTACCCGGAGAACCGGTCCCCACAGACTTGGTATCAGAGCCAGGCTGACCATTGGCTAATCCTATCTTAGCCAGGTCGGAAAACTTAGACAAACCAACCTACCAGACCTTAACCAAACCCCAGCCAAGCTTCTCGTGCAAGACAGCCACACAGTGACCCCGACACTTTTGGCAGTCGGTGCCCAACCTATCAACCTAACCCGTCGATCACACGCCAGTGACCAGCACCCAAGATGTCTCCTCCACAAGCGTGCGATGGAAGACTCCGTTCCCTTTTCTATAAAAAGGGCACGCTAGCCTCAACCCAGCACAGCACAGCCTCTACTCCAAACCGAGCCATAATGCCAGGCCCCGTCGTGCACAATGAGACCACAACAACCAACCTTGGAGGTTTTGTGACCATACTCGCCAACCTCACCCGTCGTGCCTACTCGTTAGAAGAGCCTCCAGAATATGTTGTGTACCAAGGACCCATGGGCGATCACACGAAACATGCATCAAGTGAATCAATAGAACATCCCATTGTCACCACAGATATCCCATCGCAAGACATACATCAAGTGTTCTCAAATCCAGTACTCAAAGAGCAAGACTTCATTCATGACAAGAAAGTAGAGGGGGAAGAACACCATAAGATCCAACTATAGTAAAAAAGCTCGTGGTACATCAAGATCGTGCCAAATCAAGAACACGAGAGAGAGAGAGAGAGAGAGAGAGAGAGAGAGAGATCAAACACATAGCTACTGGTAGATACCCTCAGCCCCGAGGGTGAACTACTCCCTACTCGTCATGGAGGGTGCCAGGATGATGAAGATGGCCACTGGTGATTGTTTCCCCTCCGACAAGGTGCCTGAATGGGCTTAGATTGGTTTTTCATGAACTCAGAGGCCTATGGCGGCGGAACTCCTGATCTATGTTTCTTTCAGGGGGTTTATGGATTTATAGGAATGTTTGGTGTCGGTTTCACGTCAAGGGGGGTCCATGAGTCAGCGACAAGGCAGGGGGCGCACCCTAGGGGGGTGGGCGCGCCCTCCACCCTTGTCGTTGACTCGGGACTCTTCTGGCCCAACTATTTTGCTTCGGGGGCTTCTTCTGGTCCATAAAAAATCACCGTAAATTTTCAGCTCGTTTGGACTCAGTTTGATATTCCTTTTCTGCGAAATTCAAAAACAAGGAAAAAACAAAAACTAACACTAGGCTCTAGGTTAATAGGCTAGTCTCTAAAATAATATAAAATAACATATAAATGCATATAAAACATCCAAAACAGATAATATAATAGCATGGAACAATAAAAAAAATTATAGATACGCTGGAGACGTATCAAGCATCCCAAGCTTAATTCCTGCTCGTCCTCGAGTAGGTAAATGAGAAAAATAGAATTTTTGATGTGGAATGCTACCAACTGCACAAGTTTGATCAATGATAATTTCAATCACTTTTTCTAGCATCATTATATATCATAACAGTAGCTCATCTCATAAAACTTCTCATGGTCAAGTAGCAAGATATTCATATGTTAAAGCATAGATCATAAACTTTCTTGAAAACTAGCAAACTAGGTTCTCAGTCATCAAACAATTGCAATTCATCTTATTTTCAGGAAGGGTCTATGTAAGAGCTTTGATTTAGCAAATCCCACACACTCAACTATCATATAGTCTTCCATGATTGCTACCACTCAAAGCATATTTTTAGAACAAATAGCATCCATTGAACACAGAGAAAGATAGGGGCTTAATGTTTCGCCTCCCAACTTATTTATCATGTAGATAATTGTCAACAATAATAATTCATGATCAAATATATTTGAATGGACATATATGCTTAGATCTTTCCCCATCACATGATGCTTGCCAACTAAAGAGTAGGTCGGAATGAGAAGGAATACTACTGACTCTTGCATAAAAGTAAAAATAGGCCCTTCGTAGAGGGAAGCAGGGATTTGCAGAGGTGCCAGAGCTCGACCTTTAAAACAAAGATGAATAATATTTTGAGCAGTATGCTTTCATTGTCAACATAGCAACAAAGAGTTCCCAATATCTTCCATGCTAGACACATTATAGGCAGTTCCCAAACAGAAAGGTAAAGTTTTTACTCCCCCTCCACCAACAATCACACTCCATGGCTAATCTGAAACAACGGGTACCGTCCATACCAACAATAGTCCTGGGGGAGTTTTGTTTAATTATTTGAAATTTTGTTTTTGATCTTTTGATCATGGGACTGGGCATCCCAATTACCAGCCACTCTGTCATGAATGATAAGTGAATAAACACTCATCATGAGAATAACCCACCTAGCATGGAAGATACTGACAGCCCCTAGTCGCTACAGGAGCGATTCAGACATACAAAACATATTATTATTTGAAGGTTTAGAGTTTGGCACATGCAAATTTACTTGGAACGACATGTAAATACCGCATAAAGGTAGATATGGTGGATACTCATGGAACAACTTGGTTCAAGGATTTTGGATGCACAAGCAGTATTCCTGCTTAGTACAGAGATTTTGGCTAGCAGAAGATTCTAAATAGCAAGCACCACATGTCGGAGGACCCATAAAAATATAACTTCTATACGAATATACCCAAACGTAACTCATTATGTTGTCTTCCTTGTCCAACTTCAACTAATTTGCTCAAGTTTGAAAATAATTAATGGGGCTCACAATCATAGAATATGTCCAAGATAGTATAGCTATATGTGAAATCTCTCTTCCTTCAATATTCTTTCATGAATTGTTCAAGTGACCAATACTGTGCAGGCCAGCGAGCCACCTCTCTGCAACCTTCCTCGCATGCAAGCTATTCGAGTGAATGTCCCAAAGAGAAGAAGTAGGTTTGAGAGAGATAAGTGTGTTGATAGGTGGATCCCATGTCCAACTTAATGATCAAGGCCATGTGTTGACTTTTACTGCACATGGCACTGATTAGTGGGCCAGGTATATCGAAAATTGGATTATTTCTCTTTAAATCGATCATTAGTGTTTATTGAGAAAATTAGCAAGAAAACAGGTGATTTTTGGGGCACCCAAGAAATGTGGTGGAAATTCCCAAACTAAACTTGAAATGTGGTGATTTTTTTGCAATTCACTCGATTTTGTTCTTCAAGTTCACCAAAAGTCTACATTTGGCCCTATCTTTTGGGTGACATTTGGACCCTTGTGTCTCAAAACCAGACAAATTTTATCCGAAACCGAAGCAAAATGGTATGGAGGCTAATGTGGCACCGGTTTTTAAATCCCACCTGCCACATCAGCAGTCAAAGTCAAAATATCTCTCTCGGGATGCAAGAGCAACACACTGGTAGTTAGCAGCAGCCAATAACCAGTATCGCCCCCACCTCCAGCTGCCTCCCACCACTGATGCACCTCGTCCCCGTGCTACTCGCAACCTCCGTCCCTCACCATACTTCACCACAACACCCTCGCGGCTCCATGCGGCAACCCATCACTCGATCCTCCCCTCCACCAACATCCCGTGACGGAGGGTGCCAATCACCACCGCCATGGCCTCGCTCCGTCGAGCCACTGGAGGATCCGAGCTCATCTACCTCCTGTGACTTGCATGATCTAGAATGCTGTGACGATCGCCTTTGTGACTCATGTGATGAGCAACGCCGCGACAATAGAGGTGGGTGTGGCGGCTATGATGGGGGCAGTGACCATTTCCGTGGTAGTGAGCCCTAGGTAGCCGACACCAGGCATGTTGAGGTGCATCCATTGTCTTCCTGATGCAGTTGTCATTCTGGCCTCAAAGGCACACATGCTTTATGGCATTAGGGGAGGAGCTTCACACTCTTTTGAGGGTCAACATTGATGGGAGAGAGAGTGTCTATGCTCTTGATGGTCCAACCCTTCCGCCTTCACTCAAGAAGGGTGGTACTATATATGTCCCACCAAAAATTGTCCACCAGATTTTTTGCAAGATGGTTCGGAGCCTTCTTAACAGTCAAGCTTCCCTATGACTCAAACATAAGATAAATACAGGAGTTAAAACTAGTTGACATCTTTACCTCTTGCTTTATGGATGGTGAGGGGATGGGGTGGGGTCGACTACCTTTATTGTTCGAGTATGAGACTAATATCTGGCCATACATCTTCTAAACATTATTCCCTCTAATCACTTGTCATTTACACCAAACCCAATTAGGGGCCAAATTATCCATTTACGAAGCCTACAAGCCAAAATGTAATCAGAGAAGATCATCGCCGTCATGTGGTAACTCTGCATCACCTCTAGATGAGCTAGATCCGGTGTGACTTGTCAAGAGGCTCAAGGAAACCTCAACAGGCTCATGAAAGGAGAATGGAAGACGACTCCCCGAAACTGCAGAATTATATTTCTTATAGACCAACAAACATGCAAACAATATCAGAACTACGCTCGATGTGCTTGCTATTTTATCTGCAAATAAGAGGGGGAAACATTAAGGGAGATTGCTGTAGCATTTAGATTGGTTGAGTGGAATATACCTAGCATACCACCCCAGTCAAAAGGAAGTTTGAATGAGAGAAACATATGTGAACTTAATATTCATTCATAACTTAAGTGTCTTGTGGAAGGGTATGGCTGGTATGTTTTTTGACGAAAATGGCAGGCGCTCTGCCTATTCGTTAAGATACGGAAAATGAAAATAACAATACAAGAGTGAATGTATATCTCACACGTGTCTGATATAACTTGGCTAGTAAAATACCTGTTCGCGTGCAAACTCAAATTTTTTGAGGGACTTGCTCTGCCATTCAGATGGTGGCTGCTAACATTTTACGTGCAAATGGTGGGAGCAAGTTTAATGATCATTTTTGAAATATCAAAGCTTGCTTGTCTTACATTAAATCTTGTGCAAGCATTTGGAGCGAGATACTAGCTTGTTTGATAATAATATATGACTACAAGGGAGAAGCAAAATGATGAACTCGAGAAAAACAAATGTGTCTTACACAATATTTGTCTCTTCAAGCGCAAGGAGAGTGCATCCCCTGCAATAGTTGAACGTGAATGCTAATGAGTAGATGAAATACAAATTTACTGAAATTTATGGAGCTACTATACTGATGTACCATAAGTTATCACTATTATCACATTGATCCCATGTAAAGGCATGATGGAGTCGCGATGCAAGTTTTAAATCTCTAGTTCCTATAGGAGGGGGATTTGTAGCACGCAGATGTAGGGGCATGCAACCCGTTTTTCTTTTGGCTTTTGATTTTCAATCTTCCGTATGTTGTAAATAAGAAGTCTAAATTAAGTTCTATTTCACATATTCATGTTCTAGTGACGAGCGCTTTTAAACGAGATCCATTTTGAATACATCTTGGCGAGTTTTTAAAAACTTGTTAACTTTTAACTTTTAAAATTTGATATGAGCGACCAACAAAAACATAAGTTTCAGAACTTGGGATCGGCGACTTCTGAAACTTGGTACGAACCACCGACAAAATTGGAAGTTTCAAAACATATGACCGATAAAATTGTAAGTTTCAGAAAATAAGACTTAAAAGTTGTTGTGCCCCCGTGCGAGATCCAACATCTTTGCGAATCGTGAGGCAATCGGGCGGCCAACACGGCTAGGCAGGTATGTGCCCCGCCCCAACCCGCCACTGCGGGTTTTTGTAGTTCCTACCTTTGTTCCAACCAAAATATGATTCATTTTGCAAACTTACATTTCTAGGACTACCGATGGATCAAATTAAGGAAAAGAGTATCATTTCACGAGACTGCTCGAAGGCGTCCCTGCAGCGGCGAGTGGTGGAGCGGCTCGGCCAGATCTGGTGCGGCTCCTTCCCTTCTCCAGTGGGTTTGGTGTATTGGTGGGAGGTGGTGGCGTGCTGCCACTCCGCGTTGGACGGCAGGCGCTCCTAGTTTGTGCTTGCATTGCAACTTTGTCGAGTGGGTCGGACTCAACAGGGGCGGCGGATCATGAGTTGTGCTCTCGGCGGTGGATGTGGTGGTGGTTGGGTTGCATTTGATGGTGGCCCGATATGGGCAGTTGGTGGCAATGCATCTACGAGTGAAATCCCGTTCATGGCCTTGTCTGGTTCTGGCAACAGCGACACTCGCGTGAACCACTATCTTTCCTAAGCTTCGTCGTGGAGTTGTGCTCCTACCTCTCCCCGTAGACTTGGCTCTGGAAGGAAACTTCAAATCTTATGGATCGGGCTATGGAGGTGTCTTCACGCCTCTCTCCTCCTTGGGGACATCACCTTGGAGCCGCGTGAGAACCAAACTATGGATAACAACTTCAAGTAGAGGGATGGTTGTGCAGCAGTGGCGGTCATGCATTGCACATAGCTGTTGGGATCGCGAAAAACTGATGGCAATAACATATGAGTGGCTTTGATGGCGATGCTGCTCAAGTACATGGTATTGAGCTTCGGGCTGAAAGACTAGGCATTGTTCGGATATGTTCGGATTGGTTCTTCACAGTGAAAGCTTGGATCTGGGTTTTAGGTCAATTGTGCGAATGGCTGCCCCCGCTAGCTCTGGCGATTGCGCCGGCGCCCCTCCCTCGCCCGAGGCGGCCGCTGTCTCCGTCGCCCCCTCCAGCGGCTGCTCCGCCCCGACCCCCCGTGGCCCCGTCCCCCTCGCCTGCGCCAGCGGTCGCGTCCGTCCTCCCGCCTCCCGCTCCCGCCCACGCGACACAGGTTTGTTGGGCGGACTTTGCCGACGACGACCCGCTTCCCTCCCCTGCTAGCCCCTCCTCCCCTCCCGCCGCCGTTTCTCATCGCACCGCGCTGCCTTGCCAGGTCGGTGGCTCAGCCCCCCACGTGAGGGGTTCTGGTGCTGGCCCACAATCGCTGCGATCACCGACGACGTCCTTGAGCTCGTCTCGGGCGGGTGGGATCCAAGGCGCAAGCTTGGCGAGTGGGGCTGCGTGTCGCCGGCGCATGCGCACCTGGGGAGTGACGGGCCACTCCGACAGGGGTGCCGCCCGCTCCTCCTGGTGCCGCCCCGCGGCGGGGGCTCGTCTGGTGGTCCCCCCGGCGTCTCCGGTAGCCCCCTTTGCCCCCTCGCCCTTGCATCCGGTCGCGTGGGCCTTCCCATTCCGGCCGTTCATCGCGGCATTCGGGTCGTCGTCCCTCCGTTTCCATGTGCTCCGTCCTGGCCTCTTTCCCGTGGCTGTCCGTGCCGGTGCCGCGCCAGCGGCGGCGACGGCGGCGCCCTGCTCCTCGGGGGAAACCCTACGGGGCCGACGGTGGTGCCCTGCTCCTCGGGGGAAACCCTATGGGGGTCAGTGCTGCTCCACCTCCCGGACCGGGCCTCCCCTGTGCCTGGCATCTTGGGCCCCGGCCCAGCCCGGCTTCTGCACCCCCATGCTGACCCGCCCTCCCCTCGGTTGGGCCGGCCCACGGGAACTGGCCCGCTGTGGTGCCCTAGGCCAAGGACGTTGGCCCCGTCCATTTGGCTCCCCTGTGGTCTCCCTCGGCTCCTAGTTTCCTCCCCGCCACCACCTCCCGCATCCTGTCCATCCCCCCCTCGGTCTCCCCCACCGCTACGCCCCCCTCCCCGTCCCTTCGTACGGCCGCGGAGTCTGCTCCTCCCCCGCCCTTCCTCCCCTGTCGTGGCTAGTGATACCACGGGAATGGGATAACGGTGCTGCCTGGAACAAGCGGAGGGCGG